GAAGACCTGGGGAGCCTTTAGGTATGCCTGTCCCTAGGCGAAGCCGGAAAACAAGTGAGGAACAACCGGAGAGGTAGAACAGCCCGAGGTTGGAGCATGAGTATGAGTCTGTGTGCGGAGTTAGGGTTTCGGGTTTCAGGTTCAGGCCAGATGTCCCTTAGTGCTAGTGCGTATAGTAGTTAGGGGGGGGGGTTCTCTTATAGAGCCCCAAGTGCCCTGCGAGATGTCCCCATCGCGAGACACGGCCCGGATTTGCAGGGTGCTTGGGGCAGCGGCAGGGCAGTAGGGTTTAGGGTTTAGGGTTTAGGGTTTAGGGTTTAGGGTACCGGGCGTAGGGCAGTTTGGGTTTGGAGTCCCGGCTGGCATCATGGGGTAGGGGATCAAAAAAAATTTATTTGGGATCAAAAAATAATTTATTTCTAGGCGGATCAAAAAAAACTTATTTGGAATCAAAAAATAATTTACTGAAGGCTTCGAAGGCTTCTTGCAAGCGAAGCGGAGGCCGTAAACGCTCAGAAATGCAGCAGTTCTGGCCGTTCGCAAGCTCTAAATACCGGCAAAACACAGCATTTATGCAGGAACTACTGAAAATAGCAGCATTTCTGAGTTCCCAGAGAGGCTGCAGATATTGTATATAGCAGCAGTTCTGCGCTTTCAGAAGCTGGAAATACTGTACACTGCAGCATTTCTGAGTTTGCAGAGGCTGCAAATCAATGCTGGCATCTTGGCATTAGAAGTTTCCAAAAAATGCGTATACTCTGAAGCATGTATATTATGGCATAGCATTGTATATTCTTGTATAGTATTGTATGACATTGTATATTCTTGCATATTATTGTATATTATTGTGTACATCTTGTTGAGTATTATTGTATTGTCGTGTATTTTCTTGTATTTTTGTATAATACTTTATATTGTTGCATATCATTGAATGTTATTGTATATTTTCAAAATTATTGTGTATTATTCTCTTTTTGTAGATTACTGTACATTATTGTATATTATTGAGTTTTCTTTGTATGTTACTGCAAATTATTCTATATTGTAGGATATTATTGTATGTCATTGTATATTATTGTCTATTATTGTATATTATTGTATACTATGTTACATTATTGCATGTCATTGAGTTTTTGTGTTTTTTCTATATTACTGTATATTTTTGTATATTTTCGAAAATTATTGTATATATTGTTGTGTATTATTGTACATTTTTGTATATTATTGTATATTGTTGTCGATTATTGAATACGATTGTCAATTACTGAAAATTGTTGTAAGTTATTCTTGTTTTACGTGTATATTGCTGCATATTCTTGTATATACTTGAAAAGTGTTGTGTTTTTGTGTATTATTATATTATGCAAAAAAGTGCTCGCATCATGGGATTGGAAGGATTCATGTGCTTTGAAGCAAGCTTGCCCGGACTAAGAAAACAGCGGGGGGGTTGGGGGGGGCGCAGCCCCCCCCATTTGCAAACACAACGCTCGCATCATTGGTTTGGAAAGGATATTCATATGCTTTGAAGCAAGCTTGCCCGGCTTTAAAAAACAGCGGGGGGTTTGAAGGGGGGGCGCAGACCCCCCCCCCCATTTGCAAACACAATGCTCGCATCATGGGTTTGGAAGGGATTCATACGCGTTGAACAAGCTTGCCCGGCGCCAAACAAACAATAAATATGTATTGTGTATTATGAATTTTATATATACAAATAGCATTAAATAAATAAAAATATATATATATATATATACTTTCTTACTACGATTTTTGATATTTTTTATCATACAAAGGTATACTATACGATATTGTGTTCTATGATACTCTATTCCACTATATAATATCATTGTACTTTGCTTTAATATATACACATACATATATCATTTGTTATGTTATGTTTTCCTACAGAACTACATAAATATACCATTATGACCAAAAAGCAATAAATAAAAACAAACTCTGACCACGGGGCCGGGAAACCACGGGACCAGAGGACCGGAGGACCGGAGGACCAGAGGACCACGTGACCAGAGGACCTTAGGAGCACAGCACCAAGCAACCAAAGGCCAGAATACGTATGCTTTGAAGCAAGCTGGCACGACGTCTTCCTTGCTTTCTTTCTTTTGTGAAATTGCCTTTTTCTGTCTTTCTTGATTCCGGCCTTCCTTTTCCTTTTCCTTTTCCTTTTCCTTTTCCTTTTCCTTTTCCTTTTCCTTTTCCTTTGCCTTTTCCTTTTCCTTTCCTTTCATTCCCTTCCTTCCCTGCTTCCTTGCTTCCTTGCTTCCTTGCTTCCTTGCTTCCTTGCTTCCTTGCTTCCTTCCTTCCTTCCTTCCTTCCTTCCTTGCTTCCTTCCTTCCTTCCTTCCTTCCTTCCTTCCTTCCTTCCTTCCTTCCTGTCCTTCCGTCCTTCCGCCCTTCCTTCCCTCCCTCCCTCCTTTTCTCCCTCCCTCCATCCCATTTTCTCTTTCTCCGTCGGAAGAAAAGAATTTCTTTTTTGATCCTAAAAATTTTTCTTGATCCTAAATAAATTTTTTTTGATCCGCATCCCATCTAGGTGAGGTGCTGCTCGGACCATCTAGAGCTCCAAAATGGCCTTCATCCTACTCAGTGGCCTCCCTTACTTGGTAGGCACTGACTCGTTCGCCCTAAACCCAAAATTGCCCCAAACCCAGACGCCCAAACCCCAAACGATCTAGTCGTGGCCCTTTACGACTCCACTGTCCTGAAATCCAATATCCATGATTGCATGTTGAGTAGCTCTGGCCTCTGTCAGGCCCCAGCTCTTTTGGGAGAGGGTTGGGTTGTGGGGAGGGGGTTGGGGTGGACTGTTGAAAGGGCACCTCACATGATGCTGCTTTGAGCACATCCGCAATGCTATTCCACAGCGGCATTGCAGCACCGATCCTACCCTAAACCCTAGACCGAGAGAACAGGAGCATCCATTCCATACACGGAAAGTTCAAATTTTAGTACGTGTGAAATCTTCCATCTTCCTCAAACTACCTAGACGTCCTCATTCGCCATTCTGGATTATGGCCAAGGGCTAGGGTCTAGGGTTTCGGGGGTCTGTTACTTCATCAAGGGGTAGTGGGGGGCTTCAAGCATGCACATGAATTTTTGCGATTTAGCGCTCTAGATTTCAAGTTGGCGAGACATTGAGTTAGGGGCTGATCGTGTGAGGTTCTGGGCTCAATGCCTCTACCTCTATCTCTATCGCTATGAGCCCTGGAAACCTTACACACCCTCTATATAACCCTATCAACCCTATCAACTACAAACTATACACCCTGCAAAACCGTACAAAAACCTGTGAACCTATTACACAATAAAGCGCTGCATCCTATAAACCCTGACTCTTCACAGAGGGAAGTGGCGTCGATTCCAACGCCTCAATGTGTGAATGTCGCGAAGAAACACCACCATCATGAACAGTCAGACCGAAAACTCTGCAAACTCTGTGTCGCTCCCTAAACTCATCACGAATGCCCACCCCCCCCCCCCCCCCCCCCCCTTCCTTCCTCCCTCCCCCCCGCAGCCCTGAAAAGCCGTACATGGGAAACGCTCAGCTCACAACGCCGCAACCCTGAACTCCAACATCAACATCTCCCGGCTGCTGCTCGGCTGACAACTTGGCCCCCAAAGAGCCCAATACCCCTTAATTAAGGAATATTACTTAATTTTCGTACTAAGGATCCCTATATGGTTAAAGGGAATATTGCTTAATTAAGGGGTTTTGGGCTCTCTGGGCCTGTCCGGGCTCCAGTATGTACACGCCCGCACTGTTGGCAGGTCCATCGAGCTAACCTGTGCAGGCAACTAAGCCCCAAACCTTAACCCCGACGCACCCCCAAACTTATATAAACCCTACACCCTAACCCTAAAACCTTAGCCGTTTCTTGCGGGAGGGATAGGGGCGGGTTTGGAGGCATTGGTACGGGGGTTTGGCTTAGGCACTCAAGGGCACTTGTTTGGACCAAGGGTTTGTTCAACGAGGGTTTAAAGGGTTTAGGGTGTGGGCGGGAGTCGAGCGCTTAGCGAGTCCGTGGCAGGCTCTGTTTCAGAATTCGCCAAACTTGTTCCCCGAGCAAGTGACTGAGCTATGCGGTTGCTACGCTCGCGTTTCTTGAGCATCCTGCCCTTTAAAATCCGGAAGGCCCTTGCAAAGCCTCCAACCGAGTCGGGCCCAGGGAGTTTTTGGGGGTTGTTGCAAGCTCTTATTGGTTGTTTGCAAGGCCTGGCAGGCTAGGGAAGAGACGCCCCGATCAGGCCCTGCCGGCCAGGCCCAAGCAGGCTCTGCACAAGGCCTCGTTGTACAACAACAAATGCAACTTTGACAACCCGGTGTCGAAAAGAAAAACTGAGGCCCTCCGGCCGAAGACGTCCTCGAACGCAAAACCTATCTTTTCTCTCGGAAGCTTCAATACATGATCTTCACTGGGCATCAATAGACCATCAGGTCCCAAAGAGCCCAAATCCCCTTAATTAAGGAACATTCCTGAAACCATACTAAGGATCCCTATATGTTTTAAGCAATCTTGCTTAATTAAGGGGTTTTGGGCTCTCTGGGTCCTTCGCCCTACAACCTTCTTGACAATCCGGTGTAGAAACAAAAGCAATGAGAAGGCGAACGCAAAACCAAGTTTTTGTCTCGGAACATGACCTTCGCCAGGCATGTTTGTAGCAACAGTCATTCGCCAGCTTAGCCACAGTTTCAGAAAACCTTTTGCCTCAAAATCCTCCAATGGTAACCCCAAACCCCAAACCCTAGACCCTAAACCCTAACCCCGAACCCCGCACGCTCGCGCGCGCACACGCACACGCACACGCACACGCACACGCACACGCACACGCACACGCACACGCACACCAACGCACACAC